ACACATCTAATTAACTTCACAGCAAAGAGGCTTTATTGTTTACGATATTAGCAGTTAATTGATCTAATAATAAGAGCAGTTTATCACTGGATTGACTTACAGAATCTGCAATATTTCATTTATGTCACTGCAAGTCACAATATCTGCACATTTATGGATGGGAAATATTAATCACCTTAATTATTGGCAGAATGTACTTTGTTTAAATGTATTTACTCACTGTAAAACAAAAAGTGGTGGTTGACTTGACTTAAATAAATCAGTAAATCCGTTGCTTTTAAAGCGATTAGTTGACTTTACAATAATGAGTAAACCTGTTGCTTTTAAAGTGTTTAGTTGACTTTTCTTAAAATAAGTGAGTAAACCTGTTGCTTTTAAAGCGATTAGTTGACTTTATTTATAATAAGTGAGTAAACCTTTTGCTTTTAAAGCGATTAGTTGACTTTATTTATAATAAGTGAGTAAACCTTTTGCTTTTAAAGCGATTAGTTGACTTGACTTAAAATAAATAAGCAAACCTGTTGCTTTTAAAGCGATTAGTTGACTTTACTTAAAATAAATGAGTAAACCTGTTGCTTTTAAAGCGATTAGTTGACTTGACTTAAAATAAGTGAGTAAACCTGTTGCTTTTAAAGCGATTAGTTGACTTGACTTAAAATAAGTGAGTAAATCTGTTGCTTTTAAAGCGATTAGTTGACTTTATTTATAATAAATCAGTAAACCTGTTGCTTTTAAAGCGATTAGTTGACTTTATTTATAATAAATCAGTAAACCTGTTGCTTTTAAAGCGATTAGTTGACTTTATTTATAATAAGTGAGTAAACCTGTTGCTTTTAAAGCGATTAGTTGACTTGACTTAAAATAAATAAGCAAACCTGTTGCTTTTAAAGCGATTAGTTGACTTGACTTAAAATAAGTAAGTAAATCTGTTGCTTTTAAAGCGATTAGTTGACTTTATTTATAATAAATCAGTAAACCTGTTGCTTTTAAAGCGATTAGTTGACTTTATTTATAATAAGTGAGTAAACCTGTTGCTTTTAAAGCGATTAGTTGACTTGACTTAAAATAAGTGAGTAAATCTGTTGCTTTTAAAGCGATTAGTTGACTTTATTTATAATAAATCAGTAAACCTGTTGCTTTTAAAGCGATTAGTTGACTTTATTTATAATAAGTGAGTAAACCTTTTGCTTTTAAAGCGATTAGTTGACTTGACTTAAAATAAATAAGCAAACCTGTTGCTTTTAAAGCGATTAGTTGACTTTACCTAAAATAAGTGAGTAAACCTGTTGCTTTTAAAGCGATTAGTTGACTTGACTTAAAATAAGTGAGTAAACCTGTTGCTTTTAAAGCGATTAGTTGACTTTATTTATAATAAGTGAGTAAACCTTTTGCTTTTAAAGCGATTAGTTGACTTGACTTAAAATAAATAAGCAAACCTGTTGCTTTTAAAGCGATTAGTTGACTTTACCTAAAATAAGTGAGTAAACATGTTGCTTTTAAAGCGATTAGTTGACTTTACTTAAAATAAATGAGTAAACCTGCTGCTTTTAAAGCGATTAGTTGACTTTACCTAAAATAAGTGAGTAAACATGTTGCTTTTAAAGCGGTTAGTGACTTTACATTATTAATTGAGTAAACTTTTAAGTAAATGATCTGTGCGTGATTATAAAAAATGAGTTAAATCAACTTTACAGTTCCAAAATTTAGTGTGTTTACTCTCTTATTTTTTAAGTAAAGTGAAATAATCACCGTTTACAGTGTATTGATCAACAGTCATCCTCTTCTTAGGATATTTTTTTGTAACGTTTTAGTTTGATCCACTTCAAATGTTGATTACAAAATGTCTAAAAATGTCCATCAGATGTTTGCACGCAGATATAAAAGTAACAGAGGCTGCCTCTCTCGCCATCACATGATGTGCAGTTACGTGTGTGTGCTGATCTGCTCTTATCTTGGTCCTGCTCATATGAGAGATTCACCGCTGCGGGCTTTCACTGATGCTGAAAAACCGAGACTGTACTTCATCAAACTCTGCGTCTCTCCCGCTTTCACCTTGTTGCAGAACAGACCTCTGTTTGGGGGGATTTTGGACTCTTTCACGCTGGGGCCCTACAGGAAGTGGGTGTGAGTGACTGTGTGCGTGATTATGTGTGGGGGGTGGGTGTGTGCATGCGTGTGTACTTGTTTTAATATTCCAGTGGGGACTTAAACCTGAATACACACAGACTTATGGGGACTTGTGTCACTGTGTGGATCAAAATTTAAGTAAACATGCTTATAAATCAGACATGATGAAGTAGTATGCAGATGTAAAAGTGTCCTGTGAGGGTTTATACAGTTTGTACAGAAACATCATTATGCCTACCAGAGTCCCCATCGGGATATAGGAACAAGTGTGTGTGTATGTGTGTTAGTCTGGAGTGGAGGGAAAGAGGAGGGGAAACAGGGGATGCTGAATAAAATAATAAACAGCTGCCACTGGAGGGAAAGACAGGAGAGAAAGAGAGAGAGAGAAGCCAGCAGTCAGTGTAGAGATCAGCGCTGGAGGAGCAGTGGTCAGCCGGAGACTTTGAATCAAACTTTCGGAAGTTCTGCGGGGGGCTAATACTTGCGCACAAAGAGAAAACCCTGATCTCATCTCACGAAATGAGCAGAAACGTTGTTTTTTGTTGGGAAAGATTGACTCGTTTTCAGCTCATCTCCATCGTGCGGTCTAGATTTGGAGATGTTCTCCTCTAAAACTGGATCTACTTCTGTCTCTTGAACATGCTTTTTTTCAGTCTTTCAGTCTAGATTCGGAGACTTCCCCCTCCAAGTTTGATCTTCTGTCTCTTTAATGTGTGTTTTTTCGCCTTTTGGTCTAGTTATGGAGATGTTTTACTCCAAAACAGGATCTTCTTACATCTCTTAGACGTGTGTTTTTCCTGTTTTGGTCCAAATCTGGAGATCTTCCCTTGATATTGGATCTACTTCGATCTCTTAAACGTGTGTTTTTTTTAATCTTTCATTCTGCATTTGGAGACGTTCTCCTCAAAGTTTGAACATCTCTCTCTTAAATGTGTGTTTTTTCACCTTATAGTCTAGATATGGAGATGTTCTTCTTGATATTGGATCTACTTCAGTCTCTTTAACGTGTGTTTTTGATCTTTCTCTGTAAATCTGGAGATCTCCTTCTTGATATTGGATCTACTTCTGTCTCCTGAATGTGGTGTTTTGCATCTTTCAGTTTAGATTTGGAGACGTTCTCCTCGAAATGGGGTCTACTTGTCTCTTCAACATGTGTTTTTCATCTTTCAGTCTGAATCTAAAGATGTTCTCCTGAAAAGCGGGATCTTCCTCTGTCTCTTAGATGTGTGTTTTTCGTCTTTCAGTCTAGATTTTGAGATGTTCTCCTCTAAATTAGATCCTCTATCTCTTAATTGTGTTTTTCGTCTTTCAATCTGGAGATGTTCTCATTGAAACTGGATCTTTTTCTGTTGCTTAAATTGGTATTTTTTATATTTTAGTCTAAATCTTTAGACACTCTTCTCAAAATTGGATCTTCTTGGATCTCTTAAATGTGTGTTTTTCATCTTTTACTCTAAATCTGGAGACGTTCTCCTCAAAATTGGACGTTCCTCTGTGTCTTAAATGTGTGTTTTTCATTGTTTTGTCTAGATTTGGAGATTTTCTTCTTGATATTGGGATTTCTTTCTCTCAGATGTGTGTTTTTCATCTTTCAATGTAAATCTGGAGATGCTCTCCTCAATATTGGATCAACTTCAGCCTCTTGAGCATGTTTTTTTTTCGTCTTTTGATCTAAATCTTAAGATGTTTCTCTTTAAAATGAGATCTTCTGCCTCCCAAATGTGTGTTGTTCATCTTTTAGTCTAAATCTAAATCATTCTCCTCACAAATCTACATCCATCTCTTAAATGTGTGTTTAAATCTGGAGAAGTCCTCTTCAAAACTGGATCTTCGTCTATCTCCTAAATGTGTCTTTCAGCCTAGATTTAGAGATGTTCTCCTCAAAAACAGATGGTCTTCTGACTCTTAAATGTGTGTTTTTCATCGTTCAGTCTAGATTTGAAGACCTCCTTTGTGAAATTGGATCTTCGTCTATCTCCTAAATGTGTTTTTGATCTTTCAGCCTAGATTTAGAGACGTTCTCCTAGAAAATAGATGATCTTCCGACTCTTAAATGTGTGTTTTTCATTGTTCAGACCAGCTTTGAAGACTTTCTTCATGAAATTGGACCATTTTGAGACTCCTAAATGTGTTTTCGGATCTTTCAATCTAAATCCGGAGACGTTCTCCTCCAAACTGAATCATCTTCTGACTCTTAAAAGTGCTTTTCGTCTTTCGTTTTCATCTTTCAGTCTAAATCTGAAAGACGTTCTCCTTCAAAATTGGATCTACTGCTGACTCTTAAACGTGTTTCAGTCTAAATCTGGAGACGTTCCCCTCAAAACTGAATCATCTACAGTCTCTTAATCGTGTGTTTTTCGTCTTTCAGTCTAGATTTGAAGATGTTCTTCTCAAAACTGGATCTTTTTCTGTAACTTAAACGTGTTTTTTTGTTTTCGTCTTTTAATCTATATCTTTACGTCTTTTGAGTTCTCCTCAAAATTGGCTTTTTAGACTCCTAAACATGTTTTTTTATTGTTTTAGTTTGACTTTAGAGACATTCTCCTCAAAATCAGATCTTCTTTACTCTCTTAAATGTGTGTTTTTGATCTTTCAGTCTAAATCTGGAGACGTTCTCCTCAAGACTGGATCTTCTTTGCTCTCTTAAATGTGTTGTTTTGTCTTTTGTTTCCTCTTTCAGTCTAAATCTGGAGACGTTCTCCTCTTAAATGTGTTTCAGTCTAAATGTGCAGATGTTCTCCTCGAAACTGAATCATCTACAGTCTCTCAATCGTGTGTTTTTTGCATGAAGACGTTGATTCAGACCTCCGTGCCAGCCCGATCCAAACAGAGGCTCTTTTTTTCACACGAGTAATTGATCACGAACGCTTGCCTGAGGGTCACAGAAACCTGGAGGAGGAACAAGACGCTCTGTGTGTGTTTTCATGAACGCAGCAGCTAAATCATCTCCAGGTCATTGAATGGATGTTTGGTGGAATCCCGAATCTGTGAATGTTTCCTCCAGCGTTCAGGCCTTATTCAGCACTGGAGTATGAGTCTGTCTGTGTGCAGATTTTGGGTTCGGGAGCTCGGATCAGACACTGTACATCGTGCACAGATGTTCCTGCATATAATAATCATAATGATGATAAGCTGTGTTGTGCGCTCGTGGACCTCCAGGGGATTTAACAAGGCTGGCTTTTCGTGTGGTTTTGGGATGTGAGAGAAATCATGATGATCGGTCTGAACCTCAGCTTGCAGGAGCTGCTGGAGAAGTTCGAGGAGGTATTTTCATATTGGACAGTGTGTGTGTGTGTGTGTGTGTTTGTGTGTGTGTGTGTGAGTTTACACTGACATATGCATGTGGGGGGAGCATGTACTGACAGATGCTCGCTATATCTGAATCTTTAACAGAATTTTAGTAGTTTATTTGTGATGATCTGAAACATTTTTATTTTTAAATATTATTTTTTTATTTTATTTGAGAAGTTACATTACCTACATAAACATGTATTTAAGGATTAGCAACATTTAGTTATCAGGGTGTCATTATCTAAATGAACAACAACAGCAACAACGGAGAACGTTACCTGAAACAGTCATGAACTGAAATAAAGCATGTTACTTTACTGAAAGATTTAGCCACCAAAACTTTAATATGGATAACACATTCTGCTTTTTGTGTGTGAGATCATTCACGTGTGTGTGCGTGTCCGTATTTATCTGTGTACATGCTTGTGTATATACTGATTTGTGTGTTGGTAGTTGGCAGAGGGTAAATGATACCATTTCCTGATCTGTAAAGAAAGTCCTGGAAGGGCCGATCTGTGAACTCTTCTCAGTTTTCCACAGTGAACGCACTGTTAGTCTCTCTGGATAAAATAATAAAAATCATCTGCTGTCTGTACATAAACTGCTTCTGGGTAGGAGAGAGAGAGGTTTCAAAACACTCTCGGGTTTACAGAGGATCTCCACCTGTGGAAAAAAGCCTGAAGATATTCACACTCTAAATAAAGAAGTAAATACACGGACAGACAGAAGCATGAACAATATGGTATATAGGTAAAATACAGAATAAATTAAATAAATAAATAAATAAGAAAAGAAAAAAACAGGAATTGGTGATATGGGATGGGTAAAAATACAGAATCAACGGATGAATAAATAAATAAATAATTTAAAAAAATGAATGATTGATTGAATAAATAAATAAGTGAATAAATAAATAAATAAATAAATAAATAAATAAATGAATAAGAAATAAATCACAAACAAAGGAAATAATAGATATAGGTAAAAATACAGAATACATATATCAATAAATCAGAAAAACAGTGAACAAAGGTAATATAGGAAATAGATTAAAATACTGAATACATAAATAAATAAATACTTAGGAAGCGGAAAAAAATCATGATCAAAGGTAATATGTGATATAGGTAAAATGACAGAATAAACAAATAAATAAATACATAGAGGTAATATGAGATCTAGGTAATAATACAGAATAAATAAATAAATAATTAAATACATAAATAGAAACCAGAAAAAGGGTAATATATGAAATAAACAAACAAACAAACAAACAAATAAACAAACAAATAAACAAATAAACAAATAAATAAATAAATAAACAAATAAATAAACAAATAAATAAATAAATGAGCAAAAAAGGGTAATATGTCATCTAGGTAGAAATACAGAATACATAAAAATAAATAAATAAACAAATTAGTAAAAAAGGGTCATTGTGATTTATATATAATAATAAATGAATAATTAAATAAATAAATAATAAACAAGAAAAACATTATGAACAAATGCAATATGGGATATAGTTAATAAATAAATAAACAAACAAATAAATACATAAATAAATTAACAAGCAAAACATAATGAACAAAATGTAATATGGCATATAGTTAAAAAATAAATAAATAAATAAGCAGAAAAGGACAGTATGTAATATAGGTAATAATAAATCAATCAATAAATAAATGAGCAGAAAAGGATCATATGTGATATAGGTAATAAATAAATAAATAAATAAATAAATAAATAAATAAATAAATAAATAAATAAATAAACAAATAAAGAAAAACATAAACAGATGTAATATGGGATATAGTTAATAAATAAATAAATTAATTATTTAATAGAAAGCAAAAAATGTAATATGTGACGTAGGTAGTAATGCAGAATAAATAAATAAATAAATAAATAAATAAATAAATAAATAAACAAGAAAAACATAAGCAAATGCAATATGGTATAAATGAAGTATATGGAATACATAAGTAAATAAGAAAAAAATAAATAAAAGCAGAAAAAACATGAACAAATGTAATCTGGGATATAGATAAATTACAGAATCAATGAATAAATAAACAAATAAGTATAAAAAAAGCAGAAACAAAATCATGAACAAATGTAAAGTAGGATATAGGTAAAAATACAGAGCAAGGGAATTTACATGATGTTTGAGGCTCAGAGTATGTCATCTCGACACAAGTACACTGCAGTTAATGCATAGTGTCATCCGTCAGCCCACAGCTACATTATTTACAACCTATTAACAGTTTTAGCTTAAAAAATACTACTTAGCCTCTTATTAATAGCTACTAATGCAGTAGTTGGGTTTGGGTATTGGGATGTAAAATAAGATCATTCTCTATACGTGTTAATAAATGGTTCATATCTCGATAATAGGCAGGTGATAAGCCAGTAGCAAATGGTGTAAATTGTTATTTAAACTGAAACCTTACTTAACCTATTCTTTTACCTCGTCTTTCTCTCTCTGTCTCTGGTTTTCTGGGTTCAATCAGAGCCGGCTGAACGACAGCTCTGGGGAGTCTTTATAATCGAGAAGCAATTATTTAACTTTATTAACGAGAAAAGCTTTTTTATTGCCTCGTTTAATAGGTCAGACTGGCAGAGGAGGGAGTTTCAGTGTGTGTGCGGGGATCGTGCCCGGATTGATCACAGTTAAATATTTCATTAAGAACTATAACAGACGAACAGCGACAGTGGAACCCAGCACAGATTGACTGCATGCTGATCTGTGTATGTATGTGTGTGTGTGTGTGTGTGTGTGTGTGTCACCTAAATCATGTTTAAGCATACACACATTAGCTCAGCTACAAGGTGCTATGCAATGGAAGTCTGGATATACCTAGGCATAGCTGAATAATAAAGCTCAGTACATAGAGATGGCATGCTGTGAGCCTCAAACACCTCGTACAATGCTGTGAGTGTAAAATCCCAGTGAAAAACAGGCCAATTATAACAAAACACTGACTATGATGATCTACATGGGTCATTAATATGCATGCCCCAGGCTGCGTTTGATTGGCTACTATGTTTCCTAGTGAGATTACTTACTAATATATTTTTTTTTTACTCCTTATTTTGAAGTTTATCATACTTAATATGAATGTGGAAGTCTTATTTTGAAAATAGGAGAGTCTTAAGGGAGCAGTTGTATGACACAGGCAGTGTTCGCAGCTTATCAAGATGCAAAATGCAGGATATACAGATTCTACATGTATTCATTTTAAGTTAAATGTTAGTTTGCTGTGTCTGTTTAGTCTCTTTCTGTTTGTTTTGTCTGTTTAATTATGCTTTGTTTGTCACGTCTTGCTTTCTGTTTTATTTTGTGTCTGTTTGTTTGTTTTGTCTGTTTAATTTTGCTTTGTTCTCTCGTCTTGCTTTGTGTTTTATTTTGTGTCTTTCTGTTTGTTTTGTCTGTTTAATTTTGCTTTATTTTCGTCTTGCTTTGTGTTTAATTTTGTTTCTATTTGTTTGTTTTGTCTGTTTAATTTTGCTTTATTTTCGTCCTGCTTTGTGTTTAATTTTGTTTCTTTTTGTTTGTTTTGTCTGTTTAATTTTGCTTTATTCTCGTCTTGCTTTGTGTTTAATTTGGTCTCTTTTTGTTTGTTTTGTCTGTTTAATTTTGCTTTGTTTGTCACTTCTTGCTTTGTGTTTTAATCTGTGTCTGTTTGTTTGTTTTGTCTGTTTAATTTAGCTGTTTTCTTGTCTTGCTTTGTGTTTAATTTTGTCTCTTTTTGTTTGTTTTGTCTGTTTAATTTTGTTTTGTTCTTGTCTTGCTTTGTGTTTAATTTTGTCACTTATTGTTTGTTTTGTCTGTTTAATTTAGCTGTTTTCTCGTCTTGCTTTGTGTTTATTTTGTCTCTTTTTGTTTGTTTTGTCTGTTTAATTTTGCTTTATTCTCGTTTTGCTTTGTGTTTAATTTAGTGTCTTTTTGTTTATTTTGTCTGTTTAATTTTGTTTTGTTCTTGTCTTGCTTTGTGTTTAATTTTGTCACTTATTGTTTGTTTTGTCTGTTTAATTTAGCTGTTTTCTCGTCTTGCTTTGTGTTTATTTTGTCTCTTTTTGTTTGTTTTGTCTGTTTAATTTTGCTTTATTCTCGTTTTGCTTTGTGTTTAATTTAGTGTCTTTTTGTTTATTTTGTCTGTTTAATTTTGTTTTGTTCTTGTCTTGCTTTGTGTTTAATTTTGTCACTTATTGTTTGTTTTGTCTGTTTAATTTTGCTTTGTTCTCTCGTCTTGCTTTGTGTTTATTTTGTCTCTTTTTGTTTGTTTTGTCTGTTTAACTTTGCTTTATTCTCGTTTTGCTTTGTGTTTAATTTTGTGTCTTTTTGTTTATTTTGTCTGTTTAATTTTGTTTTGTTCTCTCGTCTTGCTTTGTGTTTATTTTTTGTCTCTTCTTGTTTGTTTTGTCTGCTTAATTTTGCTTTGTTCTCTCGTCTTGCTTTGTGTTTAATTCTGTGTCTTTTGTTAGTTTTGTCTGTTCATTTTTCACATCGTATTTGATCTCTATCATTTCTGACGCGTGTTGTTTCAGCACACACACAGTCTCCTCTGTTGTATTTTTTCATTGGTATTCTGCTGTATTTTCTTGAAAGGATTGACAGAGAGTTAAACAGCAGAAGACACTTAACAAATGAACTGGAAAAGACCCAAACCTCCTCCTTCTGTCCTCTACTCAACATGCCTCAATCTGTCAAACTCAGATTCACGCTAGCTTCATTAGCATCACCACGCTGCAGTGTTTACAGAGAAATCATCCTTACAAATAACACATAAACATAATTGTATTTTAATTATGCTCTCTGTCTGAAATAATCTCACGGGACGTCCTTAGACTGCATAATCTAAGGCTGATGTACCATAATGAAATCATAAATCCCCCTAAAGTCACGTTAGGTACGCTTGACTGATAAATGTAGCAGCGCTGACACTTTTGACTGACAGGGAGTGCTGCAGACATTTCAGAAGTAAACTTTGAAGGCAGTCTGATGTTAAGTTTTGCTATTAAACTTCTTGCAGTTCTCTGAGAAATGCATCTGATAGCACAGTTTGTGAAGCTCCGTTATATAAGGACTGAATCCTGAAACTTTTATGTGTTTTTTCATAATATGTATTCAGCTAAATGGCAACATGGTGGCTAGCACTGTCACCTCACAGTAAGAAGGTTGTTGGTTCGAGTCCCAGCTGGGTCATGGTATTTCTGTGTGGAGTTTGCATGTTAAACACATGTGCTATAGGTCATCTGAGAAAACTAAATTGGCCATCAGCTTCTCACTCTCTGAGGAGTGTCATTCAAGTCTTTTAAGATGCACTCGGTCAGAAGACAATCGCCTGTGATATGAAGTCATTTTGCTTTTGATTGTCATCATGATTTGAGCCTATTGTTATAATGATATTTATACAATATAGTTATAAAGATATTAATACATGATCAAACTAGTGTGCAGCTTGAGCAAAACTAACACTTAAATTATTTTGAATTTGGTTTTGTAGTTCGGGCCTAAAGAAAGGTTTGTTGCCGTTCATTTGATTGAATATACAGTTGAAAGCAGAAGTTTACATACACTCTAAAAAAAGGAGCATAACCATTTATTTAAAAATGCCTGATGGTAAATCATACTAAACGTTTACTACTTTAGGTCTGTTAGGATTACCTGAATCATTTGCATTTGCTAAATGCCAGAATAATGAGAGAAATATTTTTTGAAATATTTTTTATAAATTTCTAGACAGTCAAAAGTTTACACACATTTCCTTGGAATTTTTTTAACCTTTGCTGTACAACTTTAGTGAAATGTTTTGGGTCTCCTTCCACAAGCTTCTCACAATAGTTTGCAGGAATTGTGGCCCATTCCTCCTGGCAGAATTGCTGTAACTGAGTCAGATCTGTAGGCTGTCTTGCTCGCACAAGCTTTTTCAACTCTGCCCACACATTTTCTATAGGATTGAGATCAGGGCTTTGTGATGGCCACTCCAAAACATTCACTCTGTCGTCCTTAAAGCACATTTAAACTAATTTGGCAGTGTGCTTAGGCTCATGGTCTGTTTGGAAGAGCCATTTGTGGCCAAGTTGTAATGTCCTGGCTGATGTGTTGAGATGTTGCTTCAGTATTTCTCCATGATGTTCTTTCTTCATGATGCCATCTATGCTGTGAAGTGGACCAGTCCCTCCTGCAGCAAAACAGCCCCACAACATGATACTGCCGCCCCCATACTGCACAGTTGGGATGGTGTTCTAGGCTTGTGCGCTTTCCCCTTTGTCCTCCAAATGTAACACTGCACATTATGGCCAAACAGTTCAATCTTAGCTCCATCAGAGCACAGGACATGTCTCCAAACATTATTCCCAGTGTCATTCAGCTAATGGTAATCTGGCTTTGTTGTTGATTTTCCCATGTCGTCACACAAGGAAGCAGTGTGTTTGAGCTTTTCCTTCAATACTATTCTACAGTTGTGCCTCACATTAACTCAAATGTTGTCAATTAGCCAATCAGAAACCTCCAAAAGCTTGACATCATCATCTGAGCTTTTCCAGAGGCAGAATAATCTCATTGTGTGTAAACTTGACTTTCAAGAAGAGTTATAGCAATTTCTCAATTAATATCTCTCTCATTATTCTGCTATAAAGCAGAACAGAAACACATGTGATAATACTAACTTACCTAAAAGAGAAAACGTTTAGTCACATTAACATCTGACTTTTATTTAAATGGTTATGTGCCTTTTTATACAGTGTATGTAAACTTCTGCTTTCATCTGTATATAAATCAGTGGATAATATCGATGCATTTATTGGATAAAATTACTACTTTTTACATCCAATGCCTTTTCGGTCATTATCAATGCACTGTCACTTTAATTGCACGTGAGAGGGCGGCAAATATAGACCCAGCGCCGAAACTATCACTGCTGCTCTGTATGGGTTATGAAAGCTCTAATCTGTTAATATGGACGCTGAAAAGTCATGCACTGCACATGCTCTGCTCACGGTTGCGGTGTGAAACAGGCGGGTTTTGAATCGGCCACTATGCTGACACAGGAAGGGGCAAAGGGGGGCAACATGTAATGAATTAGGCTGCTCGTCTCATGGCATCCACTACTCCAGTTTTCTCCCGTGTGAGTTGAGTGCTCCTCCGCTGCGGTGTGCGTGTTTTAAACAGAAGATCAGATGAAATGACTCCTATAAATCTGAACAGAAGCTCAAACTCTTGTACTCTTCCTTATCTCAAGTGCTGTATGTGTGTGTGTGTGTGTGTGTGTGTGGTTTTAGACTGACAGCTTTAATTGTGTGTGTTTTTCTCTCAGCGGAGACGGTGCGGAAACATCTCTGTCGGTCTTTGTTGATTTATTTATCTTTGCTTTTAACGAATCCACATAATGTAGGCGAGAGCGGTGTAATTAAAGCAGCTTCTCTCTCTCTCTCTGTGTGTGTGTGTGTGTGTAGGACATCCAGGCGGAGATCGAGGCTCATAATGATGTGTTCAGGAGTGTGGAGGGCAATAAGCTGAAGATGGTGAAGGCTCTGGGCGGCTCAGAGGAGGCTGTGTTTCTGCAGCAGAGACTCGACGACATGAACCAGCGCTGGAGCGACCTGAAGGCCAAATCAGCCAACATACGGTCAGACACACACACACACACACACACACACACACACACACACACACACACACACACACACACACACACACACACACACATACACACACAGACACATACATACACACAAGCACACATACATGTGCACATAAGTTTATACATTTGCACACAAACTACACACAAAGACACACACACAAACACACACACAGACACACAAACATTCACAAAAGCATACACCCATGCACACAAAC